GTTAGACATGATTAAGCCTGAAATCAAAGAATCTTTGGCAAGAAAAAGTGTGAAGAGTAAGGTGTTTTATCAGAAATCTAGCACCAAAACAATCACTATTATATTTTGCCCCATGGTGGGTGTCAAACTGTTTACCTGAAAAAAGGTATTTACAATATAATCATATTTGATTTGTTGTTCTAAAAATACGTGATTTATCTTAATACTAGTTGTTAGGTGAATGATGCTAAGTATAAATGAGCAAGAAATGATAAGCAAACCAGCGTGGTAACAAGATTGGGGGCCTCGAGCTCAGCGATATAGGACCTCGAGGGTGGCCTTTAACGGTTGATAATGAACAATAAATGAAGAACAATAAAATGAACAAGAAATAAATATAATCGTTTAGCACGTTCGGGCAAGAAAAACAGAGAATATAGTATTGCATTCAATATTATGTGTTCCACAAAATGACAAGGGTCCCATTTATATATGAAGGGGAATCCCAACATAGTACATGTCTAATAATAATGAGGAAATCTATTGGTACAAGTGTACAATGGCTCAGTACGGATTTGTACTACTCCTATCGACCTGATCAACTCTAACCACGTGTATTTGGGAGTTTTCCCGCCTTTTCATGACGATCATCGATTGTATTTGGAAATAATTCAACTTTAAACTCCTCATTTACCCACTTTACCCTTAATGAAAAGCTTTTATAACTACACAAAAGTCATTGTCCCACAAAGCTTTACCCCTTAAGCTTTTAAGACTACAAATTATAAAAAAATTTCTTTTTTTCCTTAAAATCAATGCCGAGTCAAACTACCTTATTTAATTTGAAATGGAGGGAGTACTTTCTTTCGGGAAAAACAGCCTCTGATACATACTTTCCTACTTCGCCTAGTGATCTTAAAAATTGGTGTCGAGTCCAATACTGAGCATTGAAAAGACCCTTTTAAATGAGATGAAAAGACCCTTTTAAATGAGATGAAAGTTACTGTTTAAACAAACAAGCATGAGCCAGTATAGCTAACCCTATGGAAAACCTGGCTGGACTTGCGGTAACATTACCAAGAGTTGAAATTTTCAAGAAATTTGAATCATTAAATTCAACAATGAATGAGTTTTTTTTGGATACATGAGAAAGGGAAAAACATTGGTCAAACACACAGGTCTACTGCAATGTTATTTTCAGCACGTGACGACCCTCATTCTCAATACTTGAAAAATAACGATTTTTTATTTTTATTTTAACTCTCATACAATGATAGGTAAGATAATCTTTACATTACCGGATAACCTAAAAGATTACAACGGTAATTTTTCATAAAAAGTGGGACTGATAATCCGAAAAATAAGGCAAGTTATCTGCTTTAACAGGCTAAGATACACTAAAGGGAAGCCCGATTGATGCACAAAGTATCCCCATTCATGCAGGGTTCGGGGAAGGGCTGCACCCAAGGTGTGTGATGTAGAAAGGCTATCATAATATAAGCTACTTCCACGTCTCGAACTCATAATCTAAAGGTTAAGTTACACTCATGTTGAAAATTTCTATATATTATTAGTGCAAAATGTTTTTACTCGATAACGTCACTTTAAAGATAATTAAACTTAACTATCCATAATCAGTGGAATTTATACGAATTGAAAAAAAAAAAAAAAACTTGAAAATGTCAGCGGAATGGATATGATAAATTTTTTAATTATTTGCGAATTATATTGGCGCTGGCATTTCCCTCTGCCCTCTCTAAGTATAAATAATTCCACCCTGTACTTCAACTCTAGACCAGACCCGACATCCCTCTCAGCAAAAGATTAGGAGAAGAAGAAGAGGAGGAGGAGATGTCAGCATTGAATCATCTGTTTGAACTCCAAGACACAATCTGTTACGTGCAATGTGGCTACTGCACTACAATATTACTTGTAAACTTACATATATCTTTCTTTCTCTGGATACCTTCATCTCTATATTTTATCGGTTAATTTGTTATCCAAAAAATTGCAGGTTAGTGTCCCATGCAGCAGCTTATGCAACAAGATAGTAACAGTGAGATGTGGCCATTGCACTAGCATCCTTTCTGTTAACTTGATGAAAACTTCTCTTGTTCCTCTTCATCTCTTTGCTTCCCTTAACCAATCCGAGGTCGAACTATAATCGTATTTAATCTCTTTTGAGTTTAATTTCTATACATTAATCGTGTAGCGAAAAGATCGTCATGAAAAAGAAAGATTAGTAATCCGAAAACCTGCAGTTATAACTTATTTAAATACATTGATATAGTGCAAATTATAATTTTTACACTGTCATTATATGTTAAATTAATTTTTTTTTCCCGGCTTTCTCTCGATGTTAATTGACTTAGAATCTATCTTTCCCGCTTTCAGCAGCAAAAGCTAGAAGTTGACAAGGAGGACATTGATGCTAATAAGAAGAGTGTAGACTCAGAAATCTCATTTGTGGCCTCATCAGATGAAGAAGATCAAATAGAGAATGTTGTTCCAGTTTATCAAGTCGTCAACAAACGTAAAATATCTATTGTATAGATGATTTAAATTGTCCTAATTAATTATTTTTACGTTACTCACAATAAGTATCTAATCATATTTTTTCAGCTCCAGAGAAAAGACAACGAGCCCCATCAGCTTATAATTGCTTTATCAAGTAATTTTTAGTTTGAACATTAAGAGACTCATAATTAACATTAGTTTATAGTACTGTACTAACATTATTTGTGTTTTACAGAGAAGAGATCAAGAGGCTAAAGACCATATACCCCAACATGACTCACAAGCAAGCCTTCAGTACCGCAGCAAAAAATGTGAGTTAAATATATTTAAATGTTTATTATGAACAACAAAACTTTTCTTAGCAAAATCTTAGATTTCAAAATTTTATTGGTTTTATATTCAGTGGGCCCACTTTCCACCAAGTCAACATAGAGGAGATAGAGAAAGCTGTAGCCTAGGAGACAGAAAGATGCCAAAGGTACTCTCCAGAATCTAAATGAAGTGGTAATTGGAGTAATATTATTAATTTTTGCATAATGATTGAAGAAACATGTGTGATAATCCATATATGGAAATACTACATTGTTATATAAGCTAATCCTAAAGTTATTAAGCAATATAGATCGGCTACAAGAAATTGGTACTTTTGGTTATTATTAGCAACTGCTAAACATGAATATATAATCTAATTCACGTTCTGCACTTGTAAAATCTATATTATTAAATTATTTCTTAGTAGTGGTTAATTTTTTCAAGGGCTATCAGTACTAATTGCATGTGTCCCCAAACATTTTCGGACAAATAGCCTTTGACCAAGCTTCTTTTTGGCCAAAAGTGCTTTTTTTTGTCAAAAGCACTTTTGGCAAAAAATTGAGGTGTTTGGCCAAGCTTTTGGAAGGAAAAAAAGTGCTTTTGAGGAGAAGCAGAAGCAGTTTTGGAGATGCAGAAAAAATAGTTTCTCTCCAAAAGTACTTTTTTGAGAAGCATTTTTGAGAAAAATACACTTAGAAGCAATTTTTTAAGCTTGGCCAAACACTAATTGTTGCTCAGAAGTGTTTTCAAACTAATTAGCCAAACACAAACTACTTCTCACCAAAAGTACTTTTGAGAAAAACACTTTTGAAAAAAATACTTCTCAAAGTAAGCTGATTTTTGCAGCTTGGCTAAACGGGCTAAAAGACATGGCATGCATGCATATGCAGTCATTCAACATGAGGATTTAAGATTTCGTAGTTCCATGTAATGACGGTGCGGAAATTATTTACATAATGTATAATTAATAAGGTAATTACAAGTAAAATATTTATGATAATCTTAGATTGAAAATTATGATAAAAATGGTAACTAATAGGCAATAATATATTAACTTATACTAATAATGTAAGAAAAATTACATTATCAATGTATATAACTTAAATTCTTTTATTATAATATTTTAAAATAATTACAAAGTTCAACAAGTTATATGATGAGAACATTTCTTGATGAACATCATGGTATGACACTGATTTTGATTGAATTAAATAGCTTGTTAAATGCAGAACCACCATATATCAAAATTAATGATATTTCCCTTAATTGGTATTTAGAAAAGAGGATCGTGACAAATTTTAGTCATTCATATCTGTTAAATTTAATTATTATTTTTTTTTTTATAGATTTCTGCTGCAAGAAACTCTCAGGTTCCAAGAGATTGCAATGGTTTCTTTGAAAGAAAGGATTCAAACATGACTCCCTCTAATGAATGAAGAGATATAGCTATCATCCCTACTGTACTGGAATGGAAGAATTGAATTGTGTCTTTACTAAACTGCTGATTTCACTTTCCTTTTGTGTTAAAGATGCCATTATTATTTAATGGGTTACTAAAGTTTCTGTTTGCAACTTTTAGAAGTTTGAAAAGTAGTGAAATGATGATAACAATATTTCTGATGCATGACGCGAACCAAATGATTGATGTAGCTTGTTGAAAGAACTTTCTAATAAATGGTATTCTTGTAGTACAAAAACCAGAACAAAATGAAAAAGAATAGAGAAAATTAAAAAGGAGGAAGGGGGCATGTAAAAGCTTAGTGGTATGTAGATTACTTTCAACTTTTGCTTCTAAATTTCAAGATTTATTGTTGGATTACCAAGAGTTCGAGCTTTAAAACAAATGTTTCAACGTTTAAACACACATAAAAAAAAAGCAGCCTGGTGCACTAAGTTCCCGTTATGCGCGGGTCTGGGGAAGGGCCAGACCACAAAGGTCTATTATACGCAGACTTACCCTGCATTTCTGCAAGAGGCTGTTTCCACGGCTTGAACTCGTAATCTCCTGGTCACATGACATCAATTTTATCATTTACGCCAAGGCTCCCCTCCCGTTTAAAAGACATAATTTCTTTAATTTAAATCAGTGTACCTGTTGTTGTGCAAAAGAACGAAAGAATGGGACTCCACTAGATCCCATAAAATTAGATGTCATTACTTTTATGATAGAAATAACATCATATACGCACTGATGAAATAAAAAATATTTATACATTCATATCACTTTTAAGGTAATTACAAGTAAATCTCTATGAAATAGTAGCAAGCACGTGCCTGGACACTCATCCATCTTTCTTTTATTGAGTCCTATCTTTTGTAGTAATAGCCATTTCTAAAGTAGGACCTCCAAAACAAGGTTAACAAAGGATAAGACTTTTGAATACTAAGAGAGCTGGCCTCCCTAATTAGAAATCTAATTGTAATCATTATGTCAAGTCCTAGAAAACCCTAGTTCTTCGATATTTAAGATCCGTCCCTTAATTTGCATTCATTTCCATTGTTTCCTTCTTGCAAATCTTGGTTCTCTTTGATAATGCCTGCCTGCCAAAGGAAACTTTACGTGAGCTCATATAAATAACTAAATGTAAGTACTAGCTAAGTTATATTACAGTTAAGTGGAGTGTAAATATTTGTATGTGTATGCGTTTCTAAAATAAATAAATGAACGGGCATTACTTAAGAAGGGTCGTGAAGATATATTGTTGAAGTAAACTTGGAAGAAGTCCTTGTTCTCCTTCAGAAGCTCTCTCCAAACTGCAAGCATGATTTACAATCAATTAATCCAAGAGAAAAGGGAAAAAAATAAAACAGAAAAGAAGGCGAAAGAGATTGTTCTCTTTCAACAAGAAATTATTAAGTGAAACTTCATTATATTTATGATGACTGATGATAAGATTAGATACAATGAATAATTCAAATATTAATAACCAAAAATTAATCTCTGGAAAAGCACGTTTTGCATGATCAGCTAGCAACATGGAAATTAAATAGAGATGAATAACCTGTTAATGTTACGAGTGGAGGGATTGTAGCATGTGTAGCGAGCGCCTTAACGCATTGATCTTTATCCATGCCAAGAAGCAAACACCTCTCTATCAGATTTTGAACCTGCAATTATTCAACATGTAAGGAACTAATGAGTTCCAAAAGCAAAGAATATTCATGCAAAAGAATGATTATATGATTAAGTTCGAGGATTAGTAGAAAACGGGGCATTTTCACATGGCCTTTTTAGGCTACTAATTCAAATTCTGTCTTCATTAACGAGTAGCCTAAATTGGTCTGAATATGAGTTGTCCAACTATACTTAACGGAGAAATTTGCACATTTGACCATTATTGATCCATGAGTGTGGATGTGAAAAAATAAAAAGCAAAAAAGAGAATATGAGAGAGGCATACCATTCTAATATAACTATGAGGGTGGCAACACAGACAGGGAGAAGGATACTCCTGGTTTTGATGCATTTTTCGTAGTTTATCTTTTGAAGGAAATTGACAAACAAAATGAGTCAAGATGAAGAGGAATATAGGAGAGAGAAAAGAATAAGAGGATGAGAATGCAAACAAATTAAATGGGAAAAAGTGCAAAGGAGAAAGGTATAGGGAGAGACATTTAGAGTAAGAGACGTAGAGTGTGTCTTTGTTATCCAAGAGGTATCTAAGTGAAGGGCCAAAATAGCACAAGAAATCCAAACAAGAGATCAATCTCATCTTCTAATAGATAAGACGATGAATTGCATGCCAATTGGTGTTCCTTTTTTTCCTTTTCATTTTGTGGTTTAAAAGATGAAGTTTTGATTAATATTACTACATCTTCGTGGCTTAGCCTATTGCCACTGAAATTCCCCCCTACATGTTAATTAATGCCTATCATTTGCTGCTTCTTTTGGACCCATCAATTGTCATCAATATATGCAACGGTCCCTGCCGCCCTCATATCACCTTTGAATTCTGTTTGGCGACCATTTATTTTGAGTACGTATAAATTTTCATAATAAATGATATTAGTAGCCCAAAAAATAAGAGATCGTAATATATTATTATATCATATTATATTATACTAACTATGTTGTACCCTGTTAATACAGATAAGTTATAAATCCATATTTATTTTACCAAATAGGACATGTGTATTGGTCAAAATCTGATCGTCACGACCAAGTTGACCGACACCCCGCCTCAGTAACTGGGGAGTTAAAGTCAATAGAACCCACTCCATTTCTCCTCTATGACATCCGACGAATCGGTAAGGGTGACGACTAAAATCATGACCAAGACATATTAGCGGTAAGAAGCAAAGGGCAAGGGTGCCCTAACTATATATAACCAGGGAAAGCTCTCCCCACGGGGAGCTGGGGGGGGGGAGGAAAAAACAAAAAGCTCTCTTCTTATATTCTAGAAAAAGAAGAAACGAACTCGAAGAAAATATGTAAGTGTACTTCCTCATCGATTGATGAGAAACACAAGGTTGAATCCTAATAAGATCAATCATATTTCTTTCATTTCATGTGCAATCATTGTTGTTAACTTTTTTATCTGGAATTAATTATGCTGACTAAGATTTACCCCTTCATATTTAATTGATTTGTTCAAAAGGGTTTTAATATCTTTTGAGTCAAACAATTTGGCGCCGTCTGTGTGGATTTCTTAGTGGAAATTCCTAGTTTCTCCCAGATCAAAGCCAAGAAACACAATCACTCACCAAAAGAAGCACGAAGGGAGAATCCAACCCACGTGAGGCATGTGGGCAGTGCAGTAAGGGAATGAGAGACGAGTAGGATTACCAAGCCTAGAAATCCTCGCCCCATCAACTCCAGATATACGAAATAAGGCAAACGGGGTTACCAACCTGTTCTCCCACACCGGACCACCGGGCGGTAGCAAAAAAAACTCATCCTCACCCCCACTCTTCGTCCAACCAAGAACATAAGACCCACGTGGGCGAACGTACAAAGGAACATCTCGATTGAAGGACAAAAATAGCTTCAACACAGCCGAAATACCTCCTGCCGGTAACGTTTTCGAGCTGGACGGCAGGAGTCAGAAAAGAAAGCTATAATGCGTACATAGCACGAACCTAAGAGAAACGTCAACACCTCGTATTCACCAGCGTTGCACCATCTGGTGCAAGCAATACCAAACATACTGGGACTCCCACGGAAGATGTCCAACTCTCCAGAAACTGGGACTGACGATGGGCTGTTATTTCGATACGTTCGAAATAACACACTTTAAGGCCAAGGGCCTTCGCCAAAAAAGAGAAGGGTTCAACCTCGATCGAACGACAATGGGTTGTTATTTCGATAAGTTCGAAATAACACCCTTTAAGGCCAAGGGCCTTCACCAAAAAAGAGAAGGGTTCGACCTTGATCTAAAGACGATGGGTTGTTATTTCGATAAGTTCGAAATAACACCCTTTAAGGCCAAGGGCCTTCACCAAAAAAGAGAAGGGTTCGACCTTGATCTAAAGACGATGGGTTGTTATTTCGATAAGTTCGAAATAACACCCTTTAAGGCCAAGGGCCTTCGCCAAAGAAGAGAGGCTCGACCTCGATCGAACGACGACAGGCTGTTATTTCGATGAGTTCGAAATAACACCCTTTAAGGCCAAGGGCCTTCGCCAAAAAAGAGAAGGGTTCGACCTCGATCGAACGATGACGAGCTATTATTTCAATAAGTCCAAAATAACACCCTTTTAGGCCAAGGGCCGTCGCTAAAGAAGAGAAAGGTTCGACCTTGATCGAACGATGACGAGCTATTATTTCGATAAGTTCGAAATAACACCCTTTAAGGCTAAGGGCCTTTGCCAAAAAAAGAAAAAGGTTCGACCTCGATCGAATGACGACGGGCTGTTATTTCGATAAGTTCGAAATAACACCCTTTAAGGCCAAGGGCCTTGTCCAACAAAGAGAAGGGTTCGACCTCGATCGAACGATGACCAGCTATTATTTCGATAAGTTCAAAATAAAACCCTTTAATGCCAAGGGCCTTCGCTAATAAAAAAAAGGTTCGACCTCGATCAAACGACGACGGGCTGTTATTTTGATAAGTTCAAAATAACACCCTTTAAGGCCAAGGGCCTTCGCCAACAAAGAGAACGGTTTGACCTTGATCGAACGACGATGGACTGTTATTTCAGTAAGCTCGAAATAACACCCTTTAAGGCCAAGGGCCTTCGCCTAAAAAGAGAAAGGTTCGACGTCGACCAAACAATGACGACCTGTTATTTCGATAAGTTCGAAATAACACCCTTTAAGGCCAAGGGCCTTCGCCTAAAAAGAGAAAGGTTCGACGTCGACCAAACAATGACGACCTGTTATTTCGATAAGTTCGAAATAACACCCTTTAAGGCCAAGGTCCTTCGCTAAAAAAGAGAAGGGTTCGACCTCGATTGAACGACGAAGGGCTGTTATTTCGATAAGTTCGAAATAACACCCTTTAAGGACAAGGGCCTTCGCCAAAGAAGAGAAAGGTTCTACCTCGATCGAACGACGACGGGGTATTATTTCGATATGTTCGAAATAATACCCTTTAAGGCCAAGGGCCTTCGCCAAAGAAGAGGAAGGTTTGACCTCAATCGAATGATGACGGGCTGTTGTTTCGATAAGTTCGAAATAACACCCTTTAAGGCCAAAGGCCTTCGCCAAAAAAGAGAAGGGTTCGACCTCGATCGAGCGACGACTGGATGTTATTTTGATGAGTTCGAAATAACACCCTTTAAGGCCAAGGGCCTTCGCCAAAAAAAAGAACGGTTCGACCTCGATCAAACGACGACGGGCTGTTATTTTGATACGTTCGAAATAACACCCTTTAAGGCCAAGGGCCTTCACAAAAAAAAGAGAAGGGTTCGACCTCGATTGAACGACGGCGGACTGTTATTTCGATAATTTCAAAATAACACCCTTTAAGGCCAAGGGCCTTCACCAAAAAAGAGAAGGGTTCAACCTCGATCGAACGACGACGGGTTGTTATTTTGATAATTTCGAAATAACACCCTTTAAGGCCAAGGGCCTTCGCCAAAGAAGAGAAAGGTTCGACCTCGATCGAATGACGACGGGTTGTTATTACGATAAGTTTGAAATAACACCCTTTAAGTCCAAGGGCCTTCGCCAAAAAAGAGAAGGGTTCGACCTCGATCGAATAATGACGGGCTGTTATTTTGAGAAGTTCAAAATAACACCCTTTAAGGCCAAGGGCCTTCGCCAAAAAAGAAAAAAGGTTCGACCTCGATCGAACGACGATGGGTCGTCATTTCGATAAGTTCGAAACAACACCCTTTAAGGCCAAAAACCACCTGAAAGGGAAGAAAAACGTAGACTCGCCATACGGGCGCATATCTTGCACCAAAGCCATAAATAGTTGAAATAAAGGTGAAGTACAAGACAACGAAGAAAAATAAAACTTTCCTTTATACAAAGTCACAATGAGGGCTATCGCCGCTTACATATGGCCCAAGCCAACCCAAAAAAAACGATCAAACGATAATCGACAAACAATTGAAAATAAAAATAGACGAGGACAACGTTCTTCATTCGGCGTCATCACCTCCATCATCATCACCATCACCATCACTATCATCATCACCGTCTCCCATAGGCTCTCTATTACCGTCATCCGCATGACCATTAGCTTCGGGTGTCCCCGCATCATATCCACAGTTGATGCGAGCCTCCCGTGCTTTCGCTCGCACTTCTTTATAAGAAGCCTCAACCACGGTGCCCGCCTCCTACAAACTCTTATATATGTCCCGCTGAGCTTCGGTATAAACCCAGAGCTCATGCATATGGCGGGGGACGACCGCGGAGGAGGACTCAACCTGAGCCAACAATCACTCATTTTCTGCCTCTAGAGCCATGACCTGGTCTCTTAGAACTGATGCCTCTTGACCAATCACACCAATACGCTCCTCAAGCCTCACCTCCCTGAGGGTAGCCGTACTCTCTCCAACTCCTGTTCGGATTGGAGGACACGGATGGTGTTCTCCAGGGCCGTTGCCCTCGCCAAAGCCTCGGACCAGGCACTCTCAATACTCTCCAACCCAGCGACTTTGCTTTCCAGTGTAGTCAATTTTCTCATCCACTCCACACTCATCGCCTCGACCTTGACCAAGTTCTGATCTATCTCCAACTGCATCGACCTCAACCTACCCTGCAGATGCTCATATTCTGCGGCGACCCCCTTACCCAACTCGAGCTCCTCGTCCTTAATTCGAATTTGCTCGTCGAGTGCGCTCTTGCTGCGGATAGTTTGCATCAATTCCTGGTCCCTTTTTTCGAACTCCTCACCAAGAGCCCGATTACGGGGATCCGTCCTCAGATGCTCATGCATCTTGCGACATCTGTCGCGGTAGCAACGATACTTCTCCAGCATCTTCGAGAAACTTTTTGCCCGGGTGTTGGCCCTACGAATGCTTTCTACTTCCACCATATATGTCTGGAAAACAAAAGAGGGGTTAGGCNCCACCGAATGAGTAATGCCATCCTCAAACATCCTGACATCATCGGGGTCCAGGTCTGACTCAGATTCATAGTCATCAACCACCACACCTTTTCCACTTTCTGCTGCTGAAGGTGGAGCTCGACCCACTGCAGAAGATGAGGGAACGT